CCCCCCCCCCCCCCACAAACCCTATTCTAGGTACTAAGGCTCCTACATTATTGCGATGCGTTCTGCTCAGGACTGCCACCCGCTTCATCAAGTACAATGTCGCGAGAGCTCTTCACGAAAATGAAGAGCAGCTTGCCTGCGTTTAGGGTTTCAACGAAGCTTGTAGCATCGGGGACAAGAAGAATCGACTTAGAAACACTAGGCACTTGTACAGTTTGGGCTCTATGGTTTTGGCTGCCCTATGCCCCTAAATCCCAACCCCCCCCCCTTCCCCGAAAAAAAAAAAACAACGCAAGCCCCCTACGTAAAACGAAAGAGTAGCAGCTCCTTGAGTAGATCCTGTTTGTCCGCTGTAGGGTTTAGGGTTTAGGGCCTTTTGGGTATGAGGGCTTAGGAACTTGATGAAACATTGAAACCCATGGGTGCACAGCATCTCTGACCAGCAAGACACTGAAGCGCTGTCCTGAGAAACCCGGATGCCTACCCTCAACCGATCCAGGCTGCGAGAGCATACCAACTCCAAATTTGCTGCTTGCCAGTACTGGGAACTTGGACAGCTCGTGGCTGTGTCAGAACTGAGGTTGTCGCACTCTGTGCGGTATTAAGCTGATGAAAGCTTCTGAAAATGCCACGTTGGGAACAACAATTATAATAGTAAGGATGCAATCATCAGAACCATCAGAATATTAGTAGTGATAGTAAGAACAATAACAACGTTGGTAATAGTAAGAAGAAGAATCAAATAGATTATCACAAGAACCCTAGTAATAGAAAACATATATAGTTGCTACTACATTACTTATTATAGCCCAGGTCACAGCAGGAGGGATGAACACCGAGTGGTTCATTCCTCGAGCTGGGCCTTGAACGTTGAACCCAATCAACCGGTTTGAGAATTGACATGGCTGGCATTGATAGTATAGTTGTCGTCTTATGGTTGTTATCACCATACTAGTCCTATCACTACTATTACTATTAGTTCTCATTGATATTATGACGATTAGTAATTTTGTTAATATTGGGTAGGGTTCTTCATCTAATTCGTCTTATTGTGAATCTGGAGCCAACGACGTGAGAGAACCACGGGGGATTAAGTCTGAGTGAGCGAGGTGACTGGCTGACTCGCTCGCCCGCTCGCTCTGAGCCCAGCAGACCCCCCTTCTTACATCACGGACTACGTACACCTGGAATGATACAAGCTATCATTTCAGGATCCAGACGGACGTAATTGAGCGGATGTTCACTCCGTTTGAGTTTGTGGCCCGAAGCTCCAAAATCCTGCAAGCTAACCGAGGAGCAGCTCAATACCAACATCAACCGGTGACTGGGCAGGGTGTTGCGTTTGAGGCGGATGTTTCTTTACGATCTTGGGTGCTTTAAGCGTGCGTGTTCCGATGTCACGGAGGCTGGGTTTGGTGGCATTTGCCGTTTCAGGTTGCTGAGCATGTATATACAGTCTTGCAGAAGCTCAGGGCAGGGCTTCAGGGTTTAGCCTGAAGGCTTAGGGTTTGGATTAGGTTTAGGGTCATGGTCCGTGTGTATCCCCATAGGTGCCCAAATAATGTCCCCAGTGTTCGTTCGCACAAGAAGCCGCTAAAATATTCCATAAGAAGGCTATGGCTTTTGCCGTAGCCGGCCTGCCCAGCCCTGAAGCGCCTTTCCCGAAATCCGATGGGGTTGGAATGTAAAGTGCCAAGTGTAGGACTCGAAACATGAGAGCCTTCGGATTCTCGCATGATTGGTGCTGCTACTGGCAGGTGCCTCCTCGCAATGTGCTATGGGTAGTATCGCTGTCACCGCGGCGACTGCTGCTGCTGCTGCTGCTGCTGCTGCTAGTAGTAGTAGTAGTAGTAGTAGTAGTAGTAGTAGCAGCAGTAGTAGGGTTTTAGTAGTAGTAGTGGTAGTAGTAGT